AGCAGCGGTGGGCTTTCGGACATGCTCGCCTATGTGAAGTGAGTCACCACAACTCGTCCTTAATGTGGCCTTTACGTCATCTCAACGGCTATTCCCTCATATGGTCCTTATGTGTGTTGAATAAGAGGCTAGGCATGCGTGACTCATGTAGGCGGGCTATTTCACCGTCTTAAGACGCATGTGGATCGAAAGAGAGCGTGTCAGCTGGATCTTTTTGAACTTACCTTCACTGTGTACGCAGATTCACAAACTGATCACGACTGTGTCCTCTCTGTAGCATTGGCGGTTCTGGTGGCTTGCGATGGACGAACTAGTTACCTTATTAAGCATGTTTCTCCTGCCGGGCGAGGCCTTGCTTTCATCCATTCGAGCACACTGCAAATGTTTTTGATCTTTTATCGTTTTTCTATAGCGTTTCAATGTGCATCTTGCAATATCTGACCTTCTTTTTTCTTCTCATTGTAGTTGGATCTGGAGGACATCAAACGGACATATCTGGCCAAGTACAAAAAGACGCTTGCAAAGGCTATTGAAGGAGACACTTCGGGTGACTATAGACGCATGCTTGTGGCCCTCGTCAACTGACCCACTGGCTCCTTTTCTGTGTTCCTATAAACCGTTCTATCTTGTGTCCGCTCGATTATTTTATTATCAAATCTCATACTTATATGCTTCTGTAACCTCGATTCACCTCATTATAATTCAAAAAGTTTAATTCTGCCTCGCATTCATCTACCTTTATCGATTTAACTTTTTGGGAAAGATGGACTATTGTAAAACCAATCTGCTGGTCCTGTTTGAATAATCCGAGTACATTTTAAATATACTCCCTTATCTATTCTACCGATTTTCTTGAAAATTTCATAGGTGTCAGGGGTTCTAGATAGAAACTCGTTGTTTGAACAGCTGTCATTGGACTTGTTAACAACCTAGTCCAACATTTTCATAGCTTACAGATATGCAACAGAATCAGGAAGGTAAATGGCAAATGGTAGTTTCGGATTACTCTCCATCTACGTTTGCAGTCTGTTCCGTGCCTGCTACCTAGTGGCCAGACCCCTCGCTAGCGTCGCTGCAGTTGCCCGTTCCGCTGCGTTCATCGTAACTGTAGTCGATGTGGGCTTGGATGGAATGATGCACCAACTGTGTTTCTCTACGCGCATGTGTCACCTGTGAGCTTCTTTGAGGCGGTTCGACTACTTACACCGTTAGCCAGTGACGCATCAATCTTTGCGTGAAATTGGTATTGCGTGCTATACGTGAAGTGAGTGCCAAGAAATCGCGAAAACAACGGGAAGTCTATTTTTGGGGTGTTTTGGCGCGACTGGAAGTGGCAATCCCACGCGATCCCGTGTGGAGGCATGCAAACTTATAATGACAGCCAGAAAGTGTCATGGGTGCTGAGTCGTCTGCTGCTGTCTCATTGTCGATGGGGGAATCCTGCATGCGCCCGAAAACTCAAGCAAAACATCGTCTGCTTCTGGCCTTCGATTGGTTTACT